TATACAAATTGTTTGTACGAAGCAATCTCTCGGCTCGTCTCACGAATCAATAGAGAGTTTTAGTATACCGTTTTCGGTTTTCCGCTCCGCTCTATGGAAAGCGGAGTCGCCGTCGCGCATGCGCGACCCGCTCTGGGATTTGAGCGTGGAGCGTCAGCTCCGCTATCGTCGCCATTTTGAGAAGTGCGTTCCACTCTCAGTAAAGGTTCACTAGATGGTGCTTTTCTGGAAAGGTGGGTGCTCGCTATTTGAAATCATGCTTGGGAGCGCGCTCGACCCTAATGAACCTCGCTGCACTAAGAAGCTGCGCAGACTTTGTTTGAAAAGGCGTCCCCCAGAAAACGTTTCACGGTGGTCAAGAACCTCTGGCTGCTTCGAGAAATCGCTGGCCGCAATCCTTTCACGGCCCCTGAACGGTGGGAACAGGTGCTGCCTTGTCTAAGCCAGCGGGCTCGATTTTTCTATGCGAGATGACGACGACGACGTTGAGAGGATGACACACCGGGCGACGGCGGTGTCTCAATCTGAGTCCTGGGCCCCGGTTCCTCGGAGGCGGCAGCTTCTACTTCGGCTGGACTACCTCCTTGGAGCATGATTCTTTGACCCCAGTGAACCCCAGTGAGCAATAGCGCCATTATGTTCCTGGTGCTCCTTCATGCACTGATCGAACGGCGTGCAAGATCCTCATAGCTCGCTGCTCACCCGCCCAACCCGCCTCCACCAAGTCTGGACTTCTGCAAATCGGACTGCCACCCTCCCCAATACCAACAACCCATGTCGTCGTCATTTTGCACGTATATACTCATCACATTACCATGTTCCCTAGACGCGGCACCGGGGGCCGGGCTGCTGCTTTCTGCGGTGCCGCGGCTCTCCAGAGCCAAAAATTAAAGGTTAAAGACCAAAGACTAAAGCAGTCGGCAAACGGACAGATATTTTGTTTGGTTACTTCAGGCAGCAAGACAGTGAAAATTAGCAAAAGCGAGTGCTCCATTTATATCTCTACTTTTTTCTCCTAATGAAATGAGTCTTTTCTTCCTCGTATGCTTCGGTTTGTGATATGGTGCCTTGGTGTTTATGTACACTGCGCGACACTGTTAGCGGGAGCATTCAATATCCTGTTTTCATTGTTCACATTAAATTCGAGGGGCCGACATTTGCCTATTGGTGTGAAATACAGCGCTCGTTTGGGGCACTAATCTGAGCGGCAAAAGTTTCAGCTTTTTCAATAGCTGTCAAAGAAATAAACTGCAAATAAAAGCGATTTTTTTCGTGTTCGTATTAACAGTGGAGCGCAGCGATGCCTTGGGGGGTGACATGAAACCATTTTGCTTGACTATACACTTCTTTTTATTTCTTTTGTGTGTTTATGAAAGTGCGTTTTTCAGCTTAAGCTCCTGCCCAGTTTCTGCCTCACCTGTGCTACGGTCGTTTCTTGCAATAGAAGGCCACGCAACATAGTCTACTTTTACAATGCTGAATTCAACAGTAACACTGTAATTTGGTTAGATGCAATATTCACACGCACATCTGAGAAGTAAAATGGGAGTCGTTAGTAAACTTTTTTATTCAAATATTTCTAGATACTTTTCAGCCCAGTTGGACAGGTATTTCGCTCAGTACAAAAGCTTGAAGATGATTTACTGTGATAATTTTATGCATTCTAATATTAAACAAACAAAAAAATGCCCATTGTCTTTGTAGGTTTCGTCCAGCCGTCAAATTATGCCGTCTGCGCACATCACTGCCTGGTGCTTCACGACGAGCACCCTCTTGTGGTCTTCTTCTAGTTTTTTTGATGGACGGCATATGGGCATGCTGTGCGGTCAACAAAAACCCAACAGTTGTTCAGGGGTGTTCCCTTGTCCTTGACGGCCTAATAAAAAAGACAAAGAAAAACACTCTTACAACAAGGCAGTATTTAAACACTACCAAAACATGTGATATGGGACTTGTTACCCCTCTAAGATAAAGCGTATTTCCATTGTAGGGTTGTAGAAAACTGGGTATCGTAAATTAATATATATATATATATATATATATATATATAGTTGTTCCTCAATTCTGCTAAGGTTTGAGGCCGTCAAACTGCGCATGCGAGGCCCGCTACGCCGGAATTCAAAACGAAACTTCTGAAAACTGTTCTAATCTACCACTATTGCTTAGAAGTCCAGGGTTGTGTTTGCTAAATTTTGCATTGTTTATGCCTGTCTGGTTCTCACCAGACAAAAAATTGACGTGGAATATTCTTTCGACCGTTATTGGAAACTCTTTTCAGAACACCACCGGGTAACATATTCGGCCGCCATGTTTTGGGCATCGCTTTTAGTGTGAGACGTGTGACTAGAACCCATTTCATAATCAGTATTGACGCAGCATTCGTGTCTAATACATTTAGACTCGCATCCGCGAAAACAATGACGTAGCTCTCTTGCTCCCTAGACACTTGGCCAAAATAAGGCGGCCTCGAAGACTAGCGGCACCATGGGTTGCACTTTTAAAAAGGCTGCATTCAAGTTTCTATTATTTTCTAAATCTACCAAGGAAATCCAATGGAAACATTTCTTGAGGAAAGTTAAACAATTCAAAAGTTGCGAGCGAGTGTGAATAAGTAAAGCTGAGAGGATTGGTTTCTTTGGTGCTGCTTGCGAGCGCTATGCTCGTGGTCAGCATTCAGTGGCATATCGACAGGAGGGCGCATGCACAGAAGCACGCGCACCCGTACATCTGACTGCATAGCCACAGGACGTCCTCAAAACGCGACGACTTTACCGACGCCGTGCTGGTTGCAAAGTGATACTCGTTCACTTCGATTGATTATGCTGTTTTGTGTTACATAGAACTCAAATCGAATGGTTTACTTTTTACGCGCAGGGCGTACGCTTTGCTTCTTGATTCGACCTCTTTCAAGCTGAGGTCACGGTCAAAAACATCGACGCGTATTGAGTAAGTGCAGCCATCTTGAGATCTAAGCGATCACGCTAAGGACGCAGAGGGCAGTCCGCTCTACAATTTGTGAAGCGGAGCGCACGCTCACTCCGCTAACTATACGCTCCAACTCAGAGCGGGCCACGCATGCGCGGCGGGGACGATGCTTCTCGCAGAGCCTAAAGTAGAGCAAAGAGGGCTCATAAAAGTGGCCTACTAATACTCATAGATTACAAACGCGCTCGTCGTGACTTGTCCTGACACTGCCCATGTACACCTTTGGCGTATAGGAAAAATAACTTTTCACCAGACAGAGCAGCTGTGCTAGAAACAATGGAAACGCGAAATTTTACACAAACCATGCAGGGTGCAACCTGTGAGCACTGCTCTAGTTTCGCCAGGGTCAACCACCTATGTTTGTTCATGTCAGCGAGCAGGTGGCCGAACCTCATGTTGATGTGATCCACGATGAGGTTCACAGAAGTGAAGAACACCGACAAGTTCCGTCCAAGCGCTCATCCAAGTACGAACAGACGGTTGGGATAGGCCAGTCGAGGAAGACCATGCAAAGCGTCTCGCCAGATTGGCAACACCCTGCGCCGATCTGTCGGGTGCTGGTATTTGGAGGCCCGCATGCAGAACAGCCAGGTCCTTCTTTAAGCAGGATAGCTTCCTAAAGGGTTTCTTTTCTATGTTGGAAATATCCAGCAAACCGCGTTCGGAAAGGAAGCTTCGGCGCTTGGTGGCACGAGGGATACGAATCATAGATTCGATGTCTCGCCAGCTTAATCTCGTTGGTAGAAGTCTCCTTCCTTGAGAACAGCGGGGATTCATCGTGCAGACGCCTTGCTAGCCTTGAGCAACACTGTACTCGTACTACGCAAAAGGATGTACTCGCAATGCGCAAACTTCGTCCTTTTTTCTTATTTTTCTACTTCGAATAAGTAAATCTGTTTCAGTTTTAATTCGAGTGGAGCAGAAGCTACAAGAGCGAGTGCCGGCCTTTCAGCGTCCTTAATAAGCACGCGCGCTCGTGCAGTGCAGGTACCGTTTAGAGCAACATGCTCATGCTTATACCTTCGGCTTCACTCGCACACAAGGTGGAACGATTGTATTTATATTTTATAGCTTAATATTTCTTCACGTGTGTGCCTACTCTTTTGTGTTCACTATTGTCGCCTTCGTTTTTACTACCTCTACAATCACGCTCCCTTTTACTATCTTGGTGTTAACGCTTAGGTTTTTTCGTCTTACTAGTACTATAAACGTCCCCTTGTGGGGCTACGCAAGCAAATTTTTCGAACCCGCTCAAAACGCTCTTACGCTGAAGGAAAACGCTCTACTAAAACGCGTTTTTGGACCTCCGCTTTCCATTCCGGCGAAGCGGGCCGCGCATGCGCAGTTTGGCACCCTCAGAGCGGAGCGGAAGATGAAAACGGTCTACTAAAACTCTCTAATCTCTCGGCTCGTCTCCAGCGTTCGCTCTGCTCAAGGGGAAAGAGGGGAGGGCCTTGAGGGAGGGGCCTGTTCCGCGTGCTCCTCGCTGGTCGGGGAATTCGGAAAAGGTCCATCACTGACGTGGTACCGGTGGCCGAGTGTGCCAACGCCTCGGATGGATCGCGTGAAGCGAAAGCTCGCGCTGCGGACCGCTGGGACCCCTTTTTCGATCTGAATAAACTTCGTATCGGTGTGCGATTGTGTATATCACTACTTCATGGTGCACGTTAAAGGCCGACGGTTTGTGATGCATGGGCTAAATTTCTCATCGACAGCGGCGACAGCGGACGACCATTGGAGCTCACCAACCTCCCAGTGTCCGAGCAAACACACAATTATTACAACTCCCGGTAAACTCGGCGAACTTGACGGAACCCGCCAACTTTGCGGAAGTTTGGCGGACAGGGAGGACGCGCGAGGCCTCAGCCACGCGACCTTCGTTCGGTAGTAGAGGCGCGGGCGCCTGCTTTTTGGAACGCGGCCGAGAGAAACTCGATGCGGCCGACCACTGCGCGCTGCCGGCACTTCCGTTCGGGCGTTTTGACGACGACGCGCGTCTGCCTTTGTCCACCGGTGACGCCGTGACGCGCAGTGAACGCGGCGAGAGAGCGCTCGCGCGGGGCTGGGCCCTATCGGATCGGCGCGAAAGCGATCAACAAAGGAAAGGGGGGCTCCGAGTTATCAGTCGGCCGACGGCGAGGTCGCTTTGCGTGGCGTCGTCAGCGTCGTGCTCGCACAGCGCGCCCGTTGATTTCTCGTCCCTTTCGCGTTGGAGCCTGGCGCAAACGAGGGTTGGACGGAGACGGTCGCCGGGCCAACCGGGCGTCGGCGACGACGACGACGACGCTGCCACTTGCCTCGCCGGACTTCCGCAGAGCTTCAGGTGAGACCATGCTTCACCCGCTCGGCGGTCCGGCAGCTCGCCACACCGCGCCCCTCGATGAGTCACGTGACTCGCGTCAGCATGGACTATGGAGTCGGAGTAGCCGACAGCTCTCCATATTGCGTTCATTCTGGGGCTCAAAAGATTGGCATGTTGCTCTACCAGTGACTCGAGACATCACCAGTGACTCGGCTGGACTAGTGACTCGAAAAATGAGAAAGTTTGAGCATTTGGTTCCGATAACTTAGATAACGACGAGCGACAACGAAACGATGCGTGCGCCATAACACACGCGGGAAATCTGGTAACGCTACTATCGGGGTTATCGGAACTATCTACTAAAACTGGGATGAAGTGGGGGCCAGCTAGAGTACGGGCATGTATCTCTGATTGTGTCAAAACTCACGTACTTCTTTCTTCTATGGTGTATTGTGACGAGCGACTGGGTGTTAAAGTGCAGTGACCTTGAAGCCATGAGACATCCTCAGGTGGGCGCTTGAGTCACCATCAGCGGAAGACATCATTCGCTCGATAGACGAGACAGGGAGCTAGTTCTCGAGGTGTTAAGAGTAACTCTATATGCTCATATTTAGTTGATCTACACTAGGGCGTTATATTGCGCTGGATACCCAAGTAGCTATACGGAACTTCTGTTGACGATGAATGGCAATCGGTGGAAGGTTACGAGACTCTTTGAACGGTGGCTGCAGGTTTTCATTTTTCTAGCGTGATACTCCGTGAAAGCTGCGAAAGCACATGGTTCTTCTGTTTGTTGATAATCGCTTTTCTAAAAGAAAAACAATCACGCATCACGCGAGTTATGACTACGCCATTTCTATCTGGTCTTTGTAAAGTGACAGAGAGCTTGTTATAAAGAAAAACACCACAATGTCATCCACCGTTGACACCCTCTTATACTTTCATGCAATTGAGGACGTGAAATTTAGTAAACAACTTATATTCGTTCAGGTAAACTCATGGCAGTTCACATGTAAACAAAACCTGAGTCGTGTTTGTCCTTTTAACGTAAAATGCGTTTTTTGGCTGGATTTCATGTGAAAAGCGTTACGCTCGAGTGTAACGAAAAGCCGTTGCACACAGGCCAAGGTAACATTCATTCATTCCTTTGTTTATTTTTGTGCTCATGAACAGCTTTCGTCTTTGTATTGATGCACAATTAACATACAGCAAAAAGGAAGTGTAATTCAAGAGATTGACAAGAGAAAACTTGAACGCTACAAAAGATATATATTGTAATTTTATGATATATATTATAATACCTTGCTACCAATAAAACGTTAAGCAAATATGAAGAGTATTTTTTTTAATAAAATCGATTCCGAATTTACTAGGCTCTCGAAACATTTGCTCATTCAAATGAAAATTTGTTCATATAATATTGAATACGTATGCGTAGAAGAGAATTAGGTTCGAACTTTGTGGTCATGTTAAGGTAATTAAAATATCTCTAAAATGTTACAAGTAGGAACTTGCCCAACATTACCAAAAAGGATCAAAAGGAGATATTTTGACTTTTTTTTAAACTATATTAAAATACAAACGTTTTTTCAATTGATTCAGCGTCGGTTCAGGGCACGGGGGCTGGGCACCTTATAGCCCATTGCCGCACGTGCGGGTGCAGGCCAAGTTTTAGCAGCGTTTCTATTCTTAAACGACACAGGAATGCCTTTGCACGCGAGATTCTCGAGGCCTTGGCCATTGAGGAAAGCGCCGATGGCTGCGTGAGCATGCCCTCCGTCACGGTCAGCAAGAAAGAAAGGCAGTTTTGTAGCGTGAGCTAGACTGGCCGAGGTTGAGCAGTTTCGCGTGGCTCCTGGAGAGCCGTGCTGCGCATGCGCGAGGAGCAGTGACGTCATCTGGCGCACAGCTGGCGCGCTCCGCCGCCGCCGCGCGCGCCTCGCCGGTCTGCGCATTCCAGATGAGTGACGTCATAGCCGCGGCAGACGCACTGGCGCCGCCGCGTGCCCAGCAGTGCGCCTCCGTTGCGTAGTACCCAAGTCTGACGCTGCACCGGAGCCGCCTGGTAGTGCCTCTCATTTTGTGCGCATGCGCAGAGGTATCAGGGTATACATATAACGGGGAGTTTGCCAGTGTGGTATAGCCATGGAGAAGGAGAGCGAAATTGCTGCTGTCACATAATGCGTATACGGTGTGTGTGCCATTGAGGCAGCAGTAAGCATGATAATCAAGCTAATCCTAGACAACCAGGAAAGTTAAGAATAACCAGCTGAACCTGAGCTCACGCTACGTATATCCTGGCATAGCCGAGCTAAGCCACTGCAATTTTTTTGCAATGTGGCATGGCACCATGAAAGGGAATAAGAGGGATATGTGTCGGTGGTGGTTTGTGGTGTGGGTCAGGGCCAAATGTAAAGTGACCAAATGTAATAATTTAATTTAATTTGTTAGTGTCATGTAAGTATTTAGGTTGGTTTATTGGCAGTGCTTTAGATGTGAATCTTTGGATTAAAAATATCAAGAAGAGGTATAAAATCTCAGTTGATAGTCAGCGGTGTGTATGTCTCTGTTTCTCCCTCTGTGTTTCGTCCCTATCGTTCTAGCTAACCGTTTCCTTTTGCATTAAGAATTAACTAGCGCAACTTCAGCCTGTTATAGGATAGAAACAGAGATGGCGCATGCTTTGTATTTTTAAGTATTTTTGAGTTGTTGAAGTCATCGCCAGAACTTGAGGAAAGTTTATGATTTCCAATGGCGCTGATAACCCCAGAATAGTCTCTGATAATGGTTTCCATAGACGGATGAGTGAAGGCAGGAAGCTCCGGATTGACGTGAAGATTTCCGATGGTGAAGATGGAACAAAAATAGTTGATTACGCAATCAGCACACTGATCATCAGACAGAACTTGTCCTTCGTCATCAGTTACAGCAAAAGGGGTGTGCGGTTTGGGGGTGAATATTTTCCAGGACTGTTGAGGGTTTGTCAGACACTACACTTTCAATAGGTCGTTGCCTTAAAATTTTTCTTTGGACTTTTGGAATTTCGTATTTAGACAATTTTTTTTGCATTCTTCGTATTCGTTCCGTGTCTCTATATTCTACAGTGTGTATGTGAATGTTATTTATGACTGCACTCTCTATATTTAGATGACTTTTATTATCGCGTTCGTCGCCTAATTAAAATAAGTATAGTAATTAAATTAAATTAAAAGATCATGTGCTATTTTAATTTAATTATTTATTTTGTTTGTTTTCAAGCTATTGACCATTGAAGCGGCCAAGGCTGAACTCCAAACGACGAACGCGAACAGAACGCCACGTCTGAAGTGTTCGCGTTCGTCGTTCAATCCAAATAAATATAATTAACTTAAATTAGAAATTGCGAGTCCAGGGACCTCCTTTTGTTATGTCACTGCACTTCGGCGTGTACAAGACGTGTTACGGGGTGTATACGATCGATATTTATGGCACTGCACCCGTTCCTTTTATTTGAATTTAATTCTATCGAATCGAGTGATGATCCCGTTCAGGTTCAATAAGTTGAGTACAAAGAAATTAAAGATGTTTACAACTCCGTGTAACGGCGAATTAGAGCGCAGCTCTTAAGGAGGAGGAGGGAAGGGTACGGAGAGGAGGGAATGCTTCTCCTCTTCATCCGTACCCCCTCCTCCTCGCCTCCTCTCATCTTCCCTCCTCCTCTCCTCCTCCTCCCATCCTCCTCCTCCCCTCCTTCTGCCTCCTCCTCTCCTCCCTCCTCCCCTCCTCGTGACGTCATTATGGGAAACGTCCAATAACCTAACGCCGACGGCGACGCCGACGCCGCTCAAGGTACGAACGGCCGCCTAAGAGCAGACTTGGACGTAGTTCAACTACTCTACTCAAACTACTGTGTTTAACTACTTTTTCGAGTAACTTGGTAACTTTCAATTACAACTTGATTTGGGTAATTAGTAGTTTAATTTAACTACTTTTTTCAGGTAACTTCTACTGAAATTACTAACTACTTTCGAAATGATATAGTGCTAATTTTGCCCATCACGAAAGTTTAAGGGAAGAAATGAATAAGACGCCGGCAGATAAAGTGGCGTTCCCGAACAAGGGGCCCCCTTGTTCGAGAAGACGTCCTTGGGCCAAGGTGGCGACGAGCAGCCAAAACATAACACTGGCACGCACGAACGCAGGAAGAGATGCTTAACAAGCCTTGGTAGGGTATTGACCTAATCCGGTACTGCACGCAGGCGCCGCGTTTCCAGCTGCAACCATGAAAGACGACACTACCAGAGTTGTTATTGTTTTCGTGTTGTCTATCTTTAGTGAGTTCTGACTCAAGCGGTAGGTTCCACGGGAGGCGCCACTGAAATGACCTCGCAGCTGGGCGCCTGTTCCCATGGTCGCCTTGTCGTCAGCGCATACGCCTTTGCAAAGCCGGACTTCCCCGCGCACAAACCCTGGCACGGATAATCCGTTCATGGGAGCACGTCCCCGCTTCCAGCTGCAACTGTATACGAGCGACGATGCTTGTTCACGTAATCCTTCGCGTCCTTCCGACCATCCATGCCTGGGAGACCTCCTCTTTGTTAAAAACGATTTACTTGTCAGGCGTGTCAGGCGCGTCAGGCGCACCAGAACATTCTAGTCGCCGGGGAGGATTGCGAGTTACCCTTGGGAGATCATTTTGTTGGACCCGGCGTCAGCGGCGAAGTATACTTCGGTTCATCATCTGTTAAACCAAAACAAATTTTTTTCAGTAGCGTAGCACTAGCACTACAACGGGACGCGCAGTCGTCCGGATGATCTCATCGTCGTGGCGCGAGACTTTAACCCTTGACGGTCTGGTGCACTCGCTCAGCGTACTCTCAGAAGGACGTCGGAATAAAGAGGGGCCAGCCATAACAATCTCAACTTGACGAAGAAAAAAGAAAAAAGGAGGAAAGTTTGTTATAGAAGATCCTCTACCCGAGGCAAACCTCACATGTTTAGTCATGGACACCTAAGATGCCGACACTCCCTTACCCGACCCT